CGAGTCGGCCTTAGTCTCTTCCACCTTAATCCTCTATGATTCGGAAGGTCCGTCCAATGGATCCTCTTGTCTTTTCTTCCCTTAATCGGGTACCAAAGCGCCTTCCTCGCCGAGTAAAGCTCCCTTCATCAAGAGGATTTCCACCAAACGTACAAAAAGGCAAGAGGTAAGCACAGGGAACGGGAGCGCCGCCAGTAGCGATTTAAGTCGAAAAGGACGACTACGGCAAGGGTAGAGGCTCACCATGATCCTTGAATTCCCACCAGGACTGGGATAAATCGCTCCATACTCGCTCAGCATACGGGCAAATCGAGTACAGAAACTACACCGGGGTAAATTGTTGCGGCTGGAGTAACAAAGAAAAATATATAATATATATGTTAACTGCTTAAAGGAAGATAGACAAAGAAAGGCAAGGGAAGGCAAGGTAACATGTCTACTTATGCTCCACATTCCACCTCTCAGGGATCGACATCGTTTCCGCCGGGATCAGATCAGAAGTCCTCACTCGGGACAAATCGGCTTATCCATCCCTCCTTTCCAAGCTCCTTGGTGCAGGCAAAGAGGGACCTCGGGGCTCGACAGCGGAGTTTAATTAGACCCCCATGGAAGAGACGGGGGTTGTACATCCTAATCAGATGGTCAAGGGTGAAAGGCATATCCCCAATCACGGTCGCGTAGTACCTGATCATGTAAACAACGCGCCAGAATGAAGGATGAATCTGGCCAAGAGTCACTTGGCATCGTTGACAGAAGTCGAGAAGCACGGGGTTGACCGAGGGCGAAGATGGCCCCACCGGCCATAGAGTAAACGGATAGGTGTATGCACTGAGGAAACCTATTTTGTGTGTCGTAATATCCTCCTCCGAAGAAGGGATCTCCACAAGCACTGTGTTCCCTAGCGGCAGTCAGCTTTCACTTTTCTGATGTCTGTTATCGAGCTAATATACTGAGTCACGGGCTCGCTGCGCCCCAGTTTCAAAGAAGATCTCTCGGCCCGAAAATAAGAATCCATCGCGAAAGACCCTGGAACACATTCATCCACATGAGGAGGCATCATCACTTCACCTTGAGATATGAGCGAAGAGGACGAGGCGACAACCTCCTGAGAAGCGGAGGCAGAAGTTTTTGCCATTTCTAGAAATTTTCAGAAGAAGAAGGGGAGTTGCGTTCCTAAGAAAAAATGAAAGCGAAGGAAGAATGAACCTTTTCTGAGGTTTGAGAATACAATGAGTGATAGAAAATTAGAAGGGGAGTATTTATAGAAACCCCATATGCGCATTGAAGAAGGCCAAGAGACAACCAACTACCATAGTCAATGCGAAAATCTTTAGGGGCTGCGTGTGCATCGTGTCTTGGTGCCTTGTGACTGGCGTCATTACGAGAGCATCAGAGAGGGAAGAAATTCAAGGTCGTTTCTTGTCATTTTCACTCTAAGAAACGCGGAGACTATCTATGTACGGTAAAATTGGATGTGCCCAATTTTCTCATCATTATGGTGCCCCGCAAATGTGCTTCTCGAGGTTCGAGACCGAGGTCGAGGCTCACTGTCAAGGGTCATCAGGGCCCGGTCTCGGGGCAGTACTAACCAACGACTACATTAGAAGAGAGGGAAGTTCCCAAGACGCTTGGCTAAGACTGACTGAGCCTAGCGGGCTATTCTAGACCCAACGTAGGACATCAGGACATCATGTTTTACTGTCCTATCCCCGTTTCTGAGTAGTTAATGTATTTTTGTACTATGTTATGATTCCCCTCCTATAATAGGGGCATTCCTACCATTCTTGTAAACTTTGTTGCTCCAATTGCTCCACACGAAATATACAATGAACATTCTATTTACTCTCTAACATATTCTCTTGAATTATTGCTTCTATTTATTATATTCATCCTTTTTCATCATTTATTGATCATCATCATCCATAAAGAGCTTTCGCTGATTATACCATACCTGTTAGCCCTATCACGATCATCCCCGATAGCTCGAGTCCGAGCCCCGGAATCGATCTCGAGGCCCCAAATCGACCGGCTCGAGGCCCCAAGTAACCAACCTATCAGTTTGATTATAGCCCCCTCCTTAACTCCATTTCGTCCTTAGATCTCATACATTTAGCATCTACTGCTTAACAAAATAACATAAAAATAGATCACGTATTTTTAGAGTCTCATCAACAAATTTAATTGTCATTACCATTTTTACGGTAAACAAACTTAGAATAACACAACCTCATGCCAGATCCCTAGTAGGAACATTTGTTCGCATCACGTGCATATGACTTTGGGGACTCAACATAGGGGTTGGGTCCATCTAGGACAGGTGTACCCAAAATAATAGACCATCATGATGCATCCTACGTGCTATGTGAACATTTATTTTTTTCGGCTTGCTTGTTGACTGGCTAGGAAAGGTAAAGAGAAAAACCAAGAGTGATGTAGGGATGAAATAAAGCCCGGTTCTGAAAAACCACGGTATTTGAAAATGCCCTGAAACTCTGCCAAAATTTTTTATAAAAGTAAAAAAAAAAGAGTCAAGGAAAAAGAGTCATTTCAAAATGAGTCAATAACATATTTTTTTTAATTATGTCAAAATTGACCGAACTACGTAGGTCTGATTCTACCGGATGTGGGATACGTGAGCAACCTACATAAGGTTCGGCCTTATTTTTCAAAAAAAGAGAGTAAATAGTGAAATAAATGTAGTTTAAGGTTTTGGTCAAGAGAATAAGCCGATCCAGCTTCGGTTATTTCTTAAGCCGCTCTTGCCGGGATAACCTTAGAGTATCTTTCAATTGTCGAAGGGCTATTTTTGTAAAGAACGGATAAGTCTGGCGGTGAAGTTTCATTTTTCCATAAAGTACTTTTTCCTGGCCTCAAAATTTATTTGGAATTGTAAAGGGGTCACGTTTGCAAAAACGACCACATTTGCTAAAGTAGCAATATGGGGGGTCATTTTCCGTTGAATTTGAAAAAACCTATTTTACAAAAAAAGTCCACCAGAGTCAACCCTAACCATAACCTTCCACAGGTACAAATGAACACTGTCCAAAACCCGTCACAATTGGTCATAGAGCAGGCTCAGTTGTAGCTGCGTATGTGGTAGAATGATTAGATGAAGATGGTTGGGATTAGGTAAAAGATCAGTTGGGTGCCCTTACAGACATTATGGAAATCAGACCATGGGAGGATCTAATCAAGGCTTTGGTTACTTCTTGGGACCCCGTCCACGATGTTTTTCGTTTCTCGGATTTTGAGATCACCCATACTCTGGAGGAAATGGCCGGGTATATTGAGTTTGGCCGGGACTTGAGGAAACAACAACTTATATTCCCAAGGGCTCCCTCTGTGCAAAAGTTCTTTGACCTCCTGAATATCAGTAAGCAAATGAAGAAGGCTCATGTAAACAAAGGATGTTGTTCTTTATACTTTTTGTACTTTAGGTTCGGGCACTCAGCTGGGTTCGAAACATATGAAAAGCATTTGAACAACAAACAAGATAAGGGCATTTGGAAAATTCATCGTCGGTTCACTTTCATTGTGGCGTTTTTGGGAATTATGGTTTTTCCAAATTCACAAGGGACAGTAGATATCCGTATGGCCAGAATTTCACAAATCCTCACTACTAAAAAAGATCATACACTTGCTCCGTTAGTGCTGGTAGACATTTATCGAGCATTGATATTGTTCAAGTCCGGGGCTCAATTCTTTGAAGGTTGTAATGTTCTTCTCCAAATGTGGTTGATCGAGCATCTCCGCCATCACACCAAATTCATGAGCCATGGTTCAAGCACAAATAACTTCATCAAGAGTTACGAGTAAAGGGCGAAAGACTATGTTGCTCCAGAAGTGTTTGAAGCTTGGGTTTCCCACTTGAAAGCTTTAAAAGCAAGTCAGGTCGAGTGGACTATAGGATAGCTCCCGGTGACGGAAGTCATACACATGACAGCTACAAAGGGTTACCTAATGTTGATGGGTTTGAGGACTGTCCAGCCATATGCACCGCAGAGGGTCTTAAGGCAGTTAGGAAGATATCAAGTGATGTCCGAAGATGAAGATCTAACCACCCAAGAAATTGAGTTGCATCCAGAAGCTACATTTCCCGAAGCTTTAATCCAGCAGGATTGGAATGGTTGCATATATCTGAAAAATGGCACCCAAGTACTAGATGTTTCAAAAGGGGAGCTGGATCCAATCTATGCTGTGTGGTTTGAAATAAGTTATTGGGCATGCAACGAGCCAGAGCTCGAGCCCGAAGCCCGGGCAGCAAGCCCTCAGTTTGATTACTGCCCCGTTTTAGCTTGTATCTCATCGTTAAACTTCATACTCCTAGCATCAACTGCTCTAACAACTAACATAAAAATAGGTCACGTATTTTTAGAGTCCCATTTATAAATTTAATTGTTGTTACCATTTTTACGGTGTGAGCACTTAATTTTTGCCCTAAATGAAAATAACTCCTAAAAATAAACCAAAAATAATTTTTAATGGATTTTAGAAGTTTTTCTTTATTTAGTTGCATTTCATGCATTTTAAATATTTTTAAAATCATAGAAAAATGATAAAAAATATCACGTTTTAATTTCATGTCATTTTAGGTCCAATTTGCATTTAGGAATTTAATTTCATAGTTTAATTGTAATCATTAAACAAAAATCACAAAAAAAACAAATTTTTGCTACAATAGTCATGTCCACATTTTAGCTTTTAGTTTTAAATTAATTAGTGTTAAATTAGTAAAAATAAGTAAGATTAACTTTACAAATTAATTTAAGCTAGAGCCTAATTTATGATTTTATTTAGCTTGTTTAATTAATTCAATTAGATTTTTGAAATCAAAAGAAAAACAAGGAAAAGAAGTAGATTTGGTCTTTCAATTTTGTCTGGGCCAGCTTAACTTGATGCCCAAAAATCCTAATTTACCCAAGCCCAAAACATTGAGCTCATACTCATTCCCCATTTGACCTAACCTAATTCCTACCCCTATAAAATAATCCCTAACTCCTAAAATTAAAGGAGACCCTAGATCCCAAAGCGAAAAAACCCGCCGCTTTGAGCAACCGCCCTCCCCTCCCCCCCCGATCTTCATCTTCTTTTTGAGGGTGAAGTAGCTATTTTCCATGGCTTCCTCTTAAAATAGAACACACACAAACACAGCTATTCCTTGCTCCTCCACCTTTCCTCCATTGTAACCAATCTCGTTCTTCCACCGGAACACAAAAATCCATCCCTTACAACACAAACAAAATAGTCCAAAATGATCGAAAACAGCAGCTCAAATCGCTGCAGTCTTCGCCGAGAAAACAGTCCCATAATCACTATAAAATACACTTGAAACCAGCCCCCTTTTGCCCATAAAAACAGTCCAGTACAACCCCAAAATAGCTTCGAAACAACCGTTAGTCACTCCAAAAATTGAGGTTCTGTCGCCGATTCGAAGTTCTGATCAGTAGCTCGTTCGAACGTCATTTTGTTCCTTTTGGTGCACGCTCCTTTGTATACATAGCAAATTCAGCAATAAAGATTTTGAAATTTCAATTGAGTTTTTCACACTTTCACTTGGCTTTTGCTTTTTCCGTCTTCATTGGCCTGCTCTAACCTCAAATATTATCAAGAATGTGTTCACCATGTATCATGACGGAAATGAAAATTAACAAAAGGAGTTGGAAATAAAGAAAAATGAACGATAAAATATCACTTCTGAATGTTAATTTCACCACTTTTCTTCAGAAGGTCAACAACTCAAAGTGGGAGCAAGTCCATGTTCCTTCAAGTGTTCGGTCTATTGTCACTCTGAATCTCCCTAGCTATGGCGGTGGAAGGAAACCATGGGGACATTTGAAGCCAGAATACATGGAGAAGGTATTCTTTTGTAGTTAGCTGTGTGGACTTAGTGGCTTTGGCATATCACACTTCCATTTTAGATCAGTCCTTTTTCATCCACTCTAATTTACACTATTTATATAGAGATCAATTTGAAACTTACTGCACTTAAATTTGGTCACAGGTAGTTAATAAATTTGGGAAAATAGACTTGTTTTTAGGAGCTAAAGCTCATGATTCAGTAATTAATAATTAAATTAGTCATATTTGAAACCAGTGATAAAATAGAGTTGTTTGGTTGGAAATTGCCTAACATTTTAAATAGAAAGTATTAACTGTTCTTTGGCTGCATAATTGTGATTTGGCTAAATCAAGTTTGTAATTACAAACTAGTAGAATAACGTTAAGGTATATATATTCGATGTGATAAATTAATAATGGTAAAAAAGATAATCATTGACCAGTCTTTCAACATGTGAGTATATATATATAAAGAACTGTTTTCAGCTTCTAGTTAACTTTAAGTTTTATGTATTGTTTGTTGTATCCCCAGTTGTAGAAATACACTGGGTTTATTGTTGTTGTTGTACTATTTATTGTATAGTTTTCACGCTTGATTCCAGATGTAGGAAAATTAAACAATCTTGAAATATTTGTAGCTTGCTTTAGGCGTGACTTAGGTTATTATCGTGATTATGTATACGTTTGCGTAACATAAATATGAATTTAGTTCTAAAAATAAATCGAAGTATGCGTTCGCGCAATTTCAACCAAAATTTTCTTAAATAATTAATAAAGCGTGATTAATTGTGGACACGTACGCGTGACATGATTTTTGACGCGCCAAACGAAATGAGTACACGTACGCGTGATTCAATTCTTTCATTACAAATAATCAAGCATTAAAAGCAGTAAAAGATAAATGCACATAGGTCCTAAAAATGAGTAGTTAAAGAATTTAAGCCAAGTACAAATCACTAAGTGACCGTGCTAGAACCACGAAACCCGGAAATGCCTAACACCTTCTCCCGAGTTAACGGAATTCCTTACTTAGAATTTTTGGTTCGCAGACTTTTAAATAAAGTCGAAAACTTCCTCGGTTTGGGATTTAAAATAAACCGGTGACTTGGGGACACCAAAAAATTTATTCCAAGTGGCGACTCTAATTAAATAAAATAATCTCATTTCGTTTAATGTCACTTTAATTGGAAAAACTCCCATATACCCTTCAGGTGGTAAAAAGGAGGTGTGACAGCTTTGGCGACTCTGCTGGGGATCGAACCCATAATCTCTAGTTCAAGGTTCAAGAATTCGACCTTATTAATGTGATTTCTTATTTGGTTTTATTGTCGATATTACTATATTTTGTGGACTTAATGTGCAAATTGCCATTTATTTACTGCTTTGATATTACTTGAACTATATTTAAATGTCTTCTTACGCCTCCCTTCTGAGTCTTCTAAAAAACGGTGCTCACGTTCGCGTGGCCCACTTTTCTGTTAGAGTTATACCAAATAGAACGGGGCTGGAAAGCAACAAGGCCGGGCTGACTTTCGTGCTCCCGGTACGTTGCCCCCTCCTCGAATCGAGTTTGTCTGCTCGGGTAAGCCAGGTTTAGAACACAACCCCAAGTTTAAACTTAGAATACATAACCTCATGCCGAATCCCTAGTAGGAACGTTTATTTGCATCACGTGCATTCGACCTTGGGGACTCAACACAGGAGTTGGGTCCGTCTAGGACAGGTGTACCCAAAATAGCAGACCATCCTAATGCATCCTACGTGCTATATGAATATTTATTTGTTTCGGTTTGCATGTTGACCAGCTAGGAAAAGAAAATCAAGAGAAAAACAAAGAGTGGGGTAGGATAGAAAATTCACCCGGTTCTGAAAATTCCGGTATTTGAAAATGCCTCGATACTCTGCCATTTTTTTAAAAAAACAAAAAGGTAAAAAAGGAAAATGTATTTAAAAAAAAGTGAGTCAATATCATGCTTTTTTCGATTATATCAAAAATGACCGAACTACGCAGGTCTGATTCTCACTGGATGTGAGATACGTAGGCAAACTTCATCGGTTCCGACCCCAATTTTCAAAAATCCAAAAATATTTTCCTTTAGTTCCTTCTTTAGGAATCTTTCCCTATAAAATTCAAAAAAAAAGAGAAGTTTTTAAAACTCAAAAAAAGAGTAGTTTCCTTCTTTATGAAGTCTTTCATACAGAAAAAGAAATAAAAAGAAAAAATCCATAAAGAATAAAAACCCAAAATACGAGTTTCCTTTATTTTGAAGTATTTTTCTCAAAAATTAAAAAAAATCTTTTCTTTGTTTAAAAGTCTTTATTTCAAAAAAGAAAAATTTCGAAAAATTGAAGTCCAAAAATACTTTCGCTTTCCTTTAGGAGTACTTTTGTAAATAAATAAAAACTCAGAAATCCAAAACATTTTCTTGAAAGTCCCTCTTTTGAAAATTAAGAGGCAACATCCAAAATTCAAAAATATTTTTCTTTCTTCTTTAGAAAAAGGGAAAACAAATGAAAATTCAAATAAAAATATTTTCTTTTTACTTTTAAAATTCCCAAAGTTCAAATCAAAAGCAAAGGAATTTTTAGAAGTCTTTCTTTCAAAAATTAAAGAAAAATCAAAATAAAAAATCCCCCAAAAAATTCTCTTTCTTCTTTTAAAGCATTTCTTTAGAAAATTCCAAAAGAAAAAAAAAATCAAAAATCAAATATATTTTTCTTTTGCTTAAAGCTTTCATGGTGTGAGTTTTATAAAAGTAAGCAAAAAAAAGAGTTAGCTTATTTACTCCATTCTCAATTTTCACGAACTACGCAATCTGATTCATGCGGCATCATGATACATAGGTAATCCCCCTCGGATTTGATCATAGACATAAAATTAGTTGAGTGATAAAATAAACTGAAAAAATTGAGTGATAAAGAAAGAAAAGTGTGAAAAAAGAAAAAAAAAGAGAGAGCGACAAGAAATAAAAGAGTGACAAACATAAGAGAAAAAGAAAGTGCCAAAAATAAAAGAGCGGCAAAAACGAGATGGAAAAAATCAAGAGTGATTAAAGAGAGACAGAAATGAAGAAAAGAGATACAGAGTGAAAAGGGTTAGTTAAGGCTGCGATGAAACATGCAACCGTTCAAGCACATGGTAGAAGCGTTTAAATGTTAGGTGCATTGCATCCCAACGTGCGATTTCCTATATGTTAAATGTTTCAAAACTAACAAGGTTGTTGGATGTGCAAACTAGCCAGGTTTTGGTGGTTGGTTTTGTTGGTAGTCTAGCCTCCCCTCATTCACAAGATCCAAAGGCACAGATGGCCTCCGCAAGCAATCTACCAATCATCGGTCTTAAGGATAGCCCGTCATCGGCTATATTGCAGCTAGAATCAGCAGCTGCTGAAGAGAATAAGATGTTGCGTCTCCGCATATTGGAAATGGGGGACGCCTGGTCTAATGGTAGGGAACCGCCAAGTGCAATCCCTGGGTCCCCTGAGTTGATCCCCAGGTCAAGTGAGGTTACCAAAGTCCCTGGCCCAACCCGCTTATCCCATGCGGGCACCCTCCAATGCCCTCCAATGATCCTGGCATGCCTTCTGTGGTTCGCCCCCAGGCACCGGCTTCAAGGGCACCGTCTCCAACGTTCATCTTTTAGGGTCCACAACTTCAACCAGAAATAACATATGTGACCCCGTACTCTTTCACTCAACCTCCGCAATATGATCTCTTGGGGAAGCAAGAAAAAGTTGTTAAAAATTCCGAGCAAGAGGAAATGGCTCGGAAGATGAAGAGCCTTGAAAAAGCCTGAAAAACATGCAAGGTCTGAGTGGCTAAAAGAGTGTTTCATACTCTGACCTTTGTATGTATCCCTATGTCCACTTGCCAGTTGGCTTCAAGATGCCAAAATTTGAAAAGTATGACGGGCATGGAGACCCGGTCGCTCATCTGAAACGATATTGTAACCAGTTGAGGGGTGCTAGCGGAAAAGAGGAGCTGCTAATGACCTATTTTGGGGAAGGCCTCATCGGAATCACTTCTAAGTGGTATACGGATCAAGAAATTACCCGTTGGAACGTGACGTATGGCTCTAGATTTTGTCCGCCAGTTCCAATAGAATGTGGACTTCGCTCCCGACAGAAACTCTTTGTCCAATTTAAAAAAGAAAACCGCGGAAAACTTCAGTGAATATGCCGTCAAATGGCGTGAACAAGCTCCCAGGTTAAAGCCACCAATGGATAAAATTGAAATGGTCATGGTCTTTCTGGAGGCCCAAGAGGCTGAATACTTCCATAACATGATGTCTGCCATGGGTAAGTCGTTCGCTGAGGCTATCAAAATTGAGGAAATGGTTGAAAGCGATTTGAAAACTGGGCGAATATTGAGTCATGCTACCTTTAAGGCCACATCACAGGCTGCGCAGAATGGTTCGGGGGGTTTGATGAACTACAATGGAAGTGAAGATGAAGCCATGATGTATGACGACCCAGCTAGTCATCTCATGAGTTACCGCTCCGTTTCCCCCATTTTTGCTTCTTTATGCTTTGTTTATCTGTGTTATGTGGTATCGGGTTGATTGGTTAGGGTTCGGAAAGGAATAGGTAAGGTTTGAGACACTTAGACTCTTTTAAGGGAACTTAAGTTGGAAAAGTCAACTGGATGTTGACTTATGTGTTAGAAGGCTCGGATGTGACTTCCGATGGTCGGTTAGCTTCAAGAGGTGATTTGAAACTTAGGAGCGTGATCGGAATAAGTTTTGGAAGTTCAGAGTAGATTTAGGCTTGAATTGGCGAAAGTGGATTTTTGGCGATTTTCGGTTGGTAGATGAGATTTTGATATAGGGGTCGGAGTGGAATTCCGAGAGTTACAGTAGTTCCGTTGTGTCATTTGGGATGTGTGTGCAAAGTTTCAGGTCATTCGGACGTGGTTTGGTTGGGTTTTTGATCAAAAGCGGAATTCGGAAGATTTTGGAAACTTATGATTGAATCCGATGTGTTTTGGTTGATTTGATGTTATTTGAGGTGTTTTGGAGATTGGTACAAGTTTGAATAAGGTTTTAGGATATGTTGGTGCCTTTGGTTGAGGCCCCGGGGGCCCCGTGTGAGTTTCGGAGGGTTGAACGGATCATTTTAATTTGAAGAAAATTACAGATTTTTGTTTCAGCTGTTGCAAGTATTTTACTCTTCACGAAGAGTCAGTTGAGGAAGGTGGAATTTAAGCCTTCATGTTCGCGAGGAAGGCTACGCCTTCGCGAAGGGCTAAGTAGTTGTGCATCGCGTTCGCGGGGTGGTGTCGCGTTCGCATAGAAGAAACTAGGCAGTTGAGCTTCAATGGATTTTTATTCATCGCGTTTGTGAGAGGTGGAACGCGATCACGAAGGTTGGTCTGAGCAAAGCATCGCATTCGCGATAAGGAGGTCGCGCTCGCGAAAGAGAAAAAATTGGTCAAAGATAATTTGTGCTTCGCAAACGTGAGGCTTTGACCGCGTTCGTGAATAAGGATTTCACACCTGGGTAGAAGGTTTAAAAGGTCGTCTTGTCTGCGATTGTGGGGTTTATTTCTTCCATTGTTGGTCGTTTTTGGAGCTATTTGAAGGGGATTGAAGAGAGATTCAAAGGGAATCACTTAAGCCAAAAATTGAAGAACTAGGGCTTGGAAACTTAGACCCTTGCATGAGGATTTGAAGGACCATTTGAGGTCGGATTTAAGAACTTTTGATATGTAAGAACTCGTGTGGAGATAAGGAACCTATTGATGTAAAAATTATTGAATTCTGAGACGTGGTCCCGGGGGTCGGGTTTTGGTAATTTCGGGATTTGTGTCGTATTTTGATTATTTTTGCTTGGGCTTCATTCCCCTAGCATATTTCAAAGTCCTCGTTCTGATTTTTTGATAGATTCGATGCGAGTGGAGGCGGATTCGAGGGGCAAAGGCGTCGCGAGCTAGAGATTTGACCGGTTCGAAGTGAGTAATGATTGTAAATGATATTCTGAGGGTATGAAATCCCGGACTTGCACATCGTTGTGCTATATTGAGGTGACACACATGCTTGATGACGAGCGTGGGGTCATGCACTGTTGGGGATTGTGTTTTAGTCCATCCCGAATGACTATTTTACCGCGTATTTGACTGAAATCTATTTGCTATCATCATGATTTAGGCTGAATGCCATATTTGGCCCTTGTGCCAACTATTTGAACCATTCAGGGATTTTTATTGATATTTACACACTGCTATGACTTTATACTTGAACTCAGTCATGTTATTTTTCACTATTTTCATACTCAGCCATGTTTACTCTGTTTTATTACTTAAATGATCTTTCAAATGATAATTGGGCTGAGAATCACTATTTTACTGTTGCCCGAGTGGCTTGTGAGGATTTTGACTGAGTAAGGCCAAGAACCTATGTTGTGAGGAAACATTTGATACTGATTATGAGGCCGAGGGCCTAAGATATGTACGCCACGAGGTGGCTTGATTGATATGAGGCCGAGGACGTAGTGATGATGCCACGAGATGGATTGATATTGCGCTTGGGCCGTAAGGGGCCCCTCCAGGAGCCTGCACACCCCCAGTGAGCGCGGGTACCCATTGTGATGTAAGATTGAGCCCGAGGGGCTGGTGTTGTTCTATGTGATTTCCCGAGGGGCTGGTATTGTTCTTTGTGATTGCCCGAGGGGCTGATATTGTTTTGAGATGTTGCCCTAGGGGTGGATTTGTTGATACGGTGCCCGAGGGGCGAACCTTTATGTGTTTATCTTCTCTTAATTGCCTGTCAATTACCATTCTTAATTGTTGAAAAAGGCTTTTCATGAAGTTAAATTCGAGTTAAAGGATTTTTACCTATCTTTCAGTGGTTTACTGTTTTAATGGTTTTACTGCTTCATTACAGCATGCTTTGTGCCATACATGATTTCATACTTTCAGTCTTTATTTATGATTATTACTCACTGAGTTGGAGTATTCACTTTACTCCCTGCTCCCTGTGTGCAGATTCAGGCATATCTGGTCCTGCTCTCGAGTGCTGATCATTTCCGGCTCAGGCGGATCTAAGGATTCTCTAGGTAGCTATTGGCGTTCGGAGCCTGGAGCTCTTCCCTATCTTTCTTCTTCATGTTTTTGGTTTTCTGTATTAAACTCTATAGTTTGATGATTTGGAGTATTTAGTTTTGTTAGATGCTCATGACTAGTGACATCTCGGTATTGGGCTGTGTTGGATTATTTTCTGCGATTTATGCTATTAACAGCTTAAACCTTGGTTTATTTGATCATGCTTAGACTGTTTCTTAATGTTTAACTGTTAAATACAGAAATGGGTAGTGTTGGCTGGCCTTGTCTTCACGAGAGGCGCCATCATGACCGGGTCCGGGTTTAGGGTCGTGATAAGTTGGTATCAGAGCCTAGGTTACATAGGTCTCACGAGTCATGAGTAGGTTTAGCAGAGTCTCGCGGATCGATATGGAGACGTCTATATTTATCCTCGAGAGGCTGCAAAACCTTTAGGAAAAAACTTCATATTCTTGAAATTCTTGTTGTACGAATTTGTTGATACGAGTACTAAACTTCTGTTGTTCTATTCTCTCACAAATGGTGAGGACACACGCTACTGGTTAGGATGGACGACCACCAGTACCACCAGCTGTGGCCACCAGAGGACGAGGATGCGGTCGTGGTCGTGGTAAGGGCAGAGTAGCTAGGGCAGCACCTGCAGATCTACCAGCTACCCCAGTTTAGGATCAGGTCCCAGTCATGGATGCTCCAGCAGCACCAGCTCAGATACCAACTGTGTCCATTGTGATTCCGGGTCTTCAGGAGGCCTTGGCTAAGATCTTATCAGTTTGTACTGACCTAGCTCAGGCAGTTTCAGCCACTACAGCCGCAACTACTTCTCAGGCCGGGGGAGGCAATCAGACTCCCGCTGCTCGCACACTTGAGCAGGTCGTGCAGGGACTTCAGACACCGGGGGCACATCCAGCCCAGTCGGTTGCAGCTGCTCAGGATTATGTAGTTCCTGCTATGTCGGAGGATGAGCAACATAGGTTGGAGAGGTTTTGTAGACTGCAGCCTCCGAACTTCAGTGGTGCAGAGGGCGAGGATGCCCAAGGTTTCTTGGATAAGTGTCAAAGGATGCTTCGTACACCGGGTATCCTGGAGACCAGCGGGGTCGATTTCACTACTTATCAGTTTTCTGGAGCCTCATTCACTTGGTGGGAGGCTTTTGAGAGGTGTAGGCTTATTGGTGCAACACCCCTTTCCTGACAGTAGTTCTCCGTTCTCTTTCTGGAGTAGTATGTGCCGCAGTCCACAGAGAGGAGCTGCGTAGGGAGTTTGAGTGGTTGCGTCAGGGAGAGATGACTGTGATGCAGTACGAGATAAGGTTCTCCGAGTTAGCTCGTCATGCTATTTGGATGGTTCCGACAGATAGAGAGAGGATTAGGAGGTTTGTTAATGGCCTCACTTATCAGCTTCATATTCTCATGACCAGAGAGAGGGTGATTGGTGCTACCTTTGAGGAGGTTGTAGACATTGCTCGAGAGATTGAGTCTGTTTGTCGCTAGGAGTACGAGGAGAGGGAGGCCAAGAGGCCTTGAGGATCTGGTAGTTACAGTGGTACTCCTTCGAGCGGTCAGTTTCAGCACGGCATAGGCTGTCCATTCAGGCATACTCAGCCAACTCACCTAGGTTATCCTAGGGCATTATCGGGTCATAGTTCTCACAGTTCATATCAGAGCCAATCATCACTTACTGCCCTTCCAGCTTAGAGTTCGCCTCGTGTTCCATCAGTTCAGGTCTCTTCTATGCCGAGTGCATCTGCTAGTCACTCCAGTGTGAGGGGTTCCCTTCAGTCCCCTTCTCCAGGGAGTTGTTATGAGTGTGGTGAGATGGGTCATACGTGGAGGCAGTGCCCTCGTTGTCTTGCGAGTTCATCTCAACAGAGGGTCAGTCATCAGCTTCAGTGCCAGTTACTTCACCACCACCCACCCAACCAGCTAAGGGCGGAGGTCAGTCAGCTAGGGGTCGCCCCAGAGGGGGAGGTCGATCAGGTAGCGGTCAGTCCCGTTTCTACGCACTTCCAGGCAGACCCGATGCTATTGCTTCAGATGCTGTTATCATAGGTATTGTCTCAGTCTGCCACATAGATGCCTCTGTATTATTTGATCCCGGTTCCACCTTTTCTTATGTGTCATCATACTTTGCTCGTTATTTGGGTATGCCTCATGAGTTTCTTGCTTCACCTGTTCATGTATCTACCTCGGTGGGCGATACTGTTATTGTAGACCTTATGTACTAGTCATGTGTGGTGATTATTGGGGGTCTGGAGACCCGTGTGGATCTTATAATATTGTGTATGGTGGATTTCGATGTCATTTTGGGCATGGATTGGCTATCTCCGTGTCGTGCTATTCTGGACTGTCATGCTAAGATAGTCACATTGGCTATACCGGGGGTGCCACCGATTAAGTGGTGAGGTGTGACTGATTATGTTCCCAGTAGAGTGATCTCATTCTTGAAAGCCCAGCGTATGGTTGGGAAGGGTTATCTTTCATGTCAAGCCTTTGTAAAGGAGGTCGGTGCTGAGACTCCCAGTATTGATTCTGTTCCAATTGTAAGGGAGTTTCCCGATGTGTTTCCTGCAAACCCGCCGGGCATGCCACCAGACCGGGATATTGATTTTGGTATTGACCTGGTGCCGGGCACTCAACCCATTTCTATTTCGCCGTATGATATGGCACCAACAAAGTTGAAGGAATTAAAGGAGCAGCTTCAAGAAATCCTTGATAAAGGGTTCATTCGGCCTAGTGTGTCACCTTAGGGGCGCCGGTTCTATTTGTGAAAAAGAAGGATGGCACTATAAGGATGTGCATTGATTATAGACAATTGAACAAGGTAACAATTAAGAACAAGTATCCTTTGCCTTGCATTAATGATTTATTCGACCAGTTTCAGGGAGCGAGGGCGTTCTCCAAGATTGATCTCCGTTCAGGTTATCACCAGTTGAAGATCAGGGACTCAGATATT